TGATCAACCCCTTCCCGGGTTTTTGAGAGCTGGCTTCCACGCCCTTCTGCTGTGTCTACCTGAAGACTCCTCTGCTGTCTTTGATTGTGTTAAACCCCTCATTCTCTTTCCAGTCTTTTTTTTTTTTTTTAAACATAGTCTCACTCTGTCACCCTGGGTAGAGTGTAGTGACATCATCATAGCTCACAGCAACCTCTAACTCCTGGGCTCAAGAGATCCTCCTGCCTCAGCCTCCCGAGTAGCTGGGACTACAGGTGCGTGCCACAACGCCCGGCTAATTTTTCTATTTTTAGTAGAGACGGGGTGTCACTCTTGCTGAGGCTGGTCTCAAACTCCGGAGCTCAAGTGATTCTCCTACCTCAGCCCCCCAGAGAGCCTGACTTCAGGGCTCCTCTCATATGGGTCCTCTCTTCCTACCTTCAACCTCTGTCTCTTCTGCATCCCAGCTCTGGTGACATGGCTGTCCTGCCAGCTAGAGTGTGGGGCTCCTGCTTTTCTGCCTCTAGTTTTATCCCTGAGAAGTGTTGAATCCACTCCCGTGGTGTTGTTAGCCAGCTCTAGGTGGGGGACTTTGTAATTCTACATCTCCGCAACATCTCCGCAGTGTCTCGGTTGCATAGCAGGTCTGGGTTCTAATCCCCGATTTGGTATTTGGAGTGAGAAAATTTATGCACCAGGGAAAGGAAGGACTGTATGTATGTTAAACTCACTATTTACACATGCTTAAAAAAAAAAAAAAAGAACAGGAAGGGGCTGGGTAAATTAATCAATGGCAGATGGCTACTGACAGCTGGAAGTTGGAGATGTCCCGGCCACACCTCTAACACTAAGGAGGGGTCCAAGGGTAGTTATTGTGCTTTCTCATAGGCTCAGCCACCGTCAGAGACAAAAAGCAGAGGTTAGGGACGCAGGGTATCAGACGATCCTTCTTTGATATCTCTTCTATTACTTGTATTTCTTGTATTAGTATACGCCACTGACTACTCTGGTAATTCATGTATTTTAGAGGTCATCTAGTTAAAGCTTTATTTTACACAGGAGAAAATAACAGTGTTGGCACATAACATGATTTTTCTTAAGGTCAAATACCTAAAGAGAAAGGAAGAAATGGAATTGGCATTTATAGAAGTTGGTTCCCGTGATCCTTCTAATTTAGTACTAATTTATCGGTGGTACAGGCATACCCACAAGAGGCCCTAAAACCTACTGCTTCCTGCGGTAGACACAGAGGAAACATGCCTACTACTGGCACAAGGCGTTATCCAAGAGCAAATTTTTCTCTGTGGTTTTTCTTTCCGACTCCTTATTGTCCATGGTTGTGATGATATAACATGTAGACTTTCACTTTCATTGCATATATGACAAATATGGCTACATATCTAAATTGAGGCCAAATTATGTCTTCTCAACTTAAATTTGAGTAAGAGAGAAATCATAGACTTTAGGGGAATTAGAAAACTTCAAACGAAAATTTGTGTAGCTCTAATTAAAGATCTCACAGATACATCAAACTTCGCACTGTCAAACCCCAGCATTTCAGTAAGCTGTACAAACCTAGTATCCTTACTGCGTGAGGTTTCTATCATATTTTATACCATTTTTATCATAGTAAATTGGGTTAAAAGTTCATAGCTATTTAATAGCATAATCCTTAAGATATTTTATTAAAAAGGTTTGTAGTCTCATAAACATAGATGGAACAATCTACCAGTTATTAATTATCATTATTTGTTCAATTCAGTTATCATGTAGTGCCCAGAGATTTTTTTAGTAAATAAACAGTAAATAAATTCATTTATTCACATACCTGTTTAGAAAAAATTGCCAAATCACATGCTTCTTTTTCTAAAATTGCTTTTGAGTCTTTGTCATCCTTCATCTTGATATTATCGGTTTCCTCACGTTTTGTGGGATAAGGATACACATTGTGAGTGTTTCTTGCTCCTTCTGTTGGTGTTGCAACGATCTTTTGATTCTTAAAAGAAGACGACACCCTGTCCTTCTTTAATTGCTGCCTCGTCTTGTAACCCCGGAATTTGCTCTGAATGAACACGGCTGCTTGATCTTCTTCCTTGGCCTGAACTACCGGTTCAACTTCCCTCTCCTTGTCAATCCCACGTCTCAGATGGCCTCTCTCCTGCCTGCATATCGGTGCGCTCTGGGTAACCACAGAGGTCTTCTTTTCCTTTTCTTTGCTATTTGCATTTTGGTCAACTGACCTTTGGCTGAGACTAGGTTCCAAAGTCTTTTTAAAGGAAGTCTCATTCTCAGCTAAACAAGGTCCTGGGTAGCTTGGCCTTTCGGATACACCCTTACTTTCTAGATATGCTGCCTTTGACCCTTCAAAGTTTTTCTCCTCTGTGTACCTCTGGTAATAACTCTGGGTCCCAGCCTCCTCTGTCTCTGCTTTCCTTAGCTTACTCTTCTCCTCCAGGTCTTTGATAGACTTCTGTGTGGGACTTACTTCTTCCCAAGGGTCCCTCGCAAGGTACAATTCTTGCTTAGTCTCTTCTCCACACACATTGTTGATTTTTTTCAGAGTTTGGTATCCTCTGTTGTTACTCTCAACAGCATCAGTGGCTTCCTCTTCAGCTGCGAAAGTAGCATTCTTCTTTACAGCGGGGCTCCCTTTATTATTTGGAGGTGGGATGACTCTTTCATTAGTAGAGATTGCATTTTCTGTTTGTTTCCTCCCAACGGATTCCCTGTGTAAAACATACTGTATCTGAATATATGGTACTAAACTAGAACTTATTATTTCTTTTGGCAATAGTTACATGCTACGTAATGGTGGGAGAAAAGCCAGAACAAAGAAAGCTCAAAAGAAAAGTTAGCAAGCCACATTAATCAAGTTCTTCCCCAGATGTTCTCTCTAGTGACAACTGTGGGGGGACCCAAATGATGGGAAAACCAGATTCAACTTAGAGTGAGAAATATCCTAGCATATGAAAAACCATATTTTCATTTAATGAGATATTGAAATTCTGGGAATTTAATCCTTTCAAAACATGTCCTTTTCAAAACAAAGTACCTGTAGTGATGAGATGTTGTAGAAAATACACCTAGTTTTGAGACCAGTAAACAGGGTATATTCACCGGGCTGACATATGGTACTTTAATAAGCACTAAGTTTACTTATTCACAGGAGATACTTGTAAAATTAAAGGAAAAGTAATATCCTCGCTGCAGTTCATGATCATGTGATATGTTGGCCAAAATTTCACAGCTGTTACTTTGTTAATATTGTTCCAAAATGATTTCCCTTTAACTTGAAGATAATGTCTTCTCTAGACATTTTTTTTTTCCAGCCAAGGCAAAACTCTCACGAGAGCAACACAGCCAAGGAAAGGACATTAAGGCGGAGTGAAAATGTCATAACCTGACACCCTGACATGCCACCGCCTCTCACTGCTATCTGGGGGGGCTGATGCCCAAAACTTTTCATCCTGACCCGGAAAACCATGTGGGAGTTTGGGTCTTTTGCAATCTGTTTGTGAAGAAGGACTCTTCTTTGAGCCAAACCTGGAAAAAGCTACTAGGGCTCCATTTTTCTAATTCTATTGGCCACTGCATAGACCTACTGTGACATTTTTGGTTCACACAGGAGGCAAAAGAGAATCCTGCCAGGATCAGTTAGAAAACTATGTAGGGAACCGAAAACACCCACAATTTTGATGAGTAGCTATGCTATTAATAGTATTTTGAATTCTTCCATAGTACCCCCTTGAAAATGCTTATATTTATTCAAGTTACAACTAATAAGACAAGATATGCATGTAGTCTCTAACCAACTACATTCCAAAAAAATCCATTTATAAGTTACTTTTGATACTTTAAATGCATTTAGCTGGTAAAACCTTGTTGTATACACTGCTGCAGACCTCATGTCGGTTACATGTCTGGAATTATGCTACAGGACACTCCACCCTGTGCTTGAGGCTAGCACAGCACTTGGAAGACCTACAGACCATGTGCAATGATGCTTCTGAGGATCAGCCTTGCAGAGTTCCAGCCCAGGAGGGACTGGCGATCTCTCCTGACAGGTGCTGGGGAGGCCTGCAGGACTGGACCTTTCTCCAGCTCCCGACTGTGCTTTTCTAGGTCACAGGTTAAGGACTTTATCGGTGATGGGTAAAGTGACAACAAGGGCCGCAGGACACTGGGGGAAAAGGAAGAGTCAGAAGTTGTGGAGGGCTGAGAGCACCAGCCTGCAGATCTCAAGAAGGGGCCTGTGTCAGGCTCTCTTGACTTTGTCCTCCCCAGCCTTCCTCCCTCCTTCTTCTGAGCTTCCTCAACTCTCTGCTTATACTTCTTTTACGTCTGACTTTGTGGTCCACCTCCTATGATGGTCCAACAAATGTCAAATTCCCCATCCCTACATGTAGGGACAGTTTGTTATTGCATCCGTGGGCCCTAAATTGGATCTTGTATGTAGTAGATGCTTAATATGTATCTGCCATATTGGAAGCTAATTCCTGGTACCCTCAGAAGAAAGATGGTAGCAAATTAGTATCTAACTGAACATCAGACATCCTTATTAAATGTAACAGCTACAAGTAGTAATTTAAATTCTACAAATAGTCATTTCTAGAGGTAGTAAAATTAGTCCATCTTTCTTCCATATTTCTGTCAGACTCCTGAAGTATAGGAGTCACAGGTGACATCCACCCTCCTGCTCCTGAGGTGGGCCTATGATGTTTCTGAAGTTTGCTGGCCTGTTTTATAGCCAGTAACAGAGAGAAACAAATCATTTTTATCCTTGCAGGCAAAAGACAAAGAGTATAGATGTAGGTCTCTGAATACGTAAAAAACTGAAAACACCAAATGCCTCTATGTTTCAGATAAACATTCATGTGTGTCACGTAAGGAAATGAGGTTGGCCTGGGTGACACAGGAAGAGTGTGGGTGTCAGGGAGGAGAGGGGATGGCAGAGAAGGCGTCCATGAGACCATCTGCGCTCCCACTGCCGGCGCGAGGGAACAGCAGCGGTGGGTGAAGAGAATGTTAGACGTGGGTGTGTGGGGAGAGAAGGAAGTCATCTCCTCTTCCATCCCATTCTCTCACTCTTTCCACGGCCAGTCCTGATGTTAAAGACCAGGGGCCTGGGGTGGGGGCTAGAACGATCTTTATCTCCCGGGACAACCACTTATCCATCTTTGGATCAATCTGAGTTTCACCACTTAGCCAAAATCTAGATATTTTTCCCTTTCCCTGATCACCACCGACCAAGGCAGGGTTCCCTCCTCCTTGTCTACACTGCACCCACTGCATATTTTTACAGCAGAGTTAACCCATTTTACTA